TAATCAGCCAACTGCCCCATATTTGACTTTGTATTGGATGGCAGATAGCTGTGAAGTAACTGAAGATATTTGGGACCAGAGCACTGCTATAAGGAAGAATTCCTAGAGCTGAGATGAATGGCCTCCAACAGCCACTGGAGAATTTTCTTCCTTTATTTCCTTTGACTTCAGTTTTACTAGGACTCCTTGATGTCGTATATGTTAGAATGCTACCTAAAATATCAAGGACAGTCACTCTAGTCTACCCTCTAGAATTTGACCCTTCTGTCCCTATTTACACTGAGGCTATAATGAAGTCTGGCAAAATCCAGATTGGTAAGAGTCCTTTGATAGGACTGTTGATGACTGACTGTTCCATTAATTTGCTAATGCAAATGACCACACTGCAACAGAAATCAGAGTATAATCCCCAAAGCTGACAATTTATTTTTCCAAAACTTTCAAAGTATCGGCCACAAGATTTATGAATGACATTGTGGGGCAAGGGAGTGAACAGAGCAGCCCCCTCCATTGAATACCCCAGTGGGGAATGCAGGTATTAAAGATCCACCCTATTTTGCGCAAACGTGTGCTGACCCGTGTAAATCGAGTGAACCAACCATAATCCTGCAAAATTCAGCAAGGTCAGTATTGGATGACACTGCTGAATATATTTTTGATATGATTGTTAGGTTTGCATTTTACAACTATTCCATTCACTTTTTTTCTTTATAGTTTGTAAGTTGGAAAAGTGGATGAATGTTGATGGCAGAAAAATTTTGTTTATTAGTTTTGTGGGAAGGATTTTCAGTCTATTTCTCATAACTACTGTCACATTGCACTCTTTTTAACAGGCAGGATTTCCACCAGGGGTTGTGAATATTATTCCTGGTTTTGGAGAAACTGCAGGAGCTGCCATTGCCTCTCATATGGACGTTGATAAAGTTGCATTCACAGGATCCACTGAGGTCGGTTTGGAAACAGACACTTCAGATTAAATTCTGAAAGCTTATTACAGATTGGGTCAGTGAATAGCCCATTAGTTTGTAGACTGCACTACAAGTACAAATCCTGGGAATGTAATCCTCAGTTGAACTGGACAAACTGTGTAATAAGTTTACGTGCAGTAATACGTTTTATTTAATTGGGTTTTTTGATTTACATTTCACTGTCCAATAACATCCCTGCTATGAAAGCAGTTTACCACTTCAGTTGTTAGCCAACCAGAATAATTCTAGCATTCTGACCCCATCACCAAAAATTGCTTCAAACAATGCATATTTGCATGCAGTTCTGTGATTGATACTGTCCCCTCATTGCTTAATTCAGAAGCTCACAACCAATGTACGGTGAAGGTATTCTGTGGTTCAGTAACCCAAGAAGTTTGAATTTTATGGCTTGGATTAGACAAAGCATGCAGATGTCTTGAGCTAGTGGATCAACACCAGTAAATAAAAGATTCTATAGAAATAAATTCTGGCTTTGGAGGTGATCTAACTAATGATTTTGAAATATTTTATTTTGGGCTCATGAATTATGCTGTCTTGCCATATCCTGAAGATGATTTCTTGTATTTCATTACTTTCTGTTTGCTGTTTTAGTTTTTCTTAACGTACTTATTTTTTTTCAGTAGTGTGTTCCTGTCTTATTCACAGGTTGGTCACCTGATCCAGCAGGCTGCAGGAAAAAGTAATTTGAAGAAGGTGACACTGGAACTTGGAGGAAAAAGCCCAAATATTATCCTTTCTGATGCTGATCGTAAGAAACCCTGTTATTACCTGCAACTTAAGCAGCTAACTTGTTGAACTCCATTAATCTTGTGTTTGTATCTGAGTGGTTGTTTAGGCACAGATTAAATATGAAAAATGTTTTGTTTCCCTAGCTGGGTTAAGCTGACATTGCCTTTATGATATAAATTGCTATCGCGATGGAAAGGAGAATCGACTGTTAATTACCTACTCAAGCCTACTTGTAGACTTAAGAGACCTATTGTCATCTTGTTTGCCTTGCCCTTTTTTCAATAAAACTAATAAATTAAAGGTAAAATTGCCACAGTCCCAGAGAACCATATGGCTGCTTTCTTTCATTAGAGAGACAGCTTGAGGGCTACAATACCTCGGGTAAGGGGAGAGTTTGAGAAGGAGAGTCCTTCATGATAACCTCAGCCACTGAGAGTATCAAACTTCCACTGTTGGCATTACTCCACATTGCAAACCATCGCCTAGCTAATTATTGTTGGGGGTTGATTAACTCAGTTGGCTGGATGGCTGGTTTGCATTGCAGAGTGATGCCTAAAGTGTAGGCTCAATTCCTGCATGGGCTGAGGTTGCTGTGAAGGCCTCTCCTTCTAAATGTCTCCCTTTGCCTGAGGTTTGGTGACCCCCTGGTTAAAACACCACCAGTCATCTCTGTCTCAGAGTGCAGCCCTATGGTCTGGTAGGGCAATGGCAACAAAAGTAGTAACTAGCACCTGAAGGAAGTAATCTGCAGATTGGCCTGGAGGAGGAAATTTAGACCTGAATGTTAAACCAAAGTGTGTTTCTTTAGCAGCATTCTCGAAATAAACCAAAAATGTGCTTTTTGTTTCAATGATTTCTCCCATCTCAATAAAAGTTTACTCTTTTTACTCTTAAAAATGTTCTGATACTGATCTACTTAAATTTCCAGTTGATCATGCAGTTGAGGAGTCCCATACAGCTCTATTCTTTAACCAAGGACAGTGTTGCTGTGCCGGGTCTCGTACGTATGTTCAAGAGTCTATCTATGACCGATTTGTAGAGCAAAGTGTGGAAAGAGCAAAACTTCGGACTGTGGGAGATCCGTTTGACTCCAAGAATGAGCAGGGGCCACAGGTAGATGTATAGGGACTGAAAAACTGTTTGAAAATATTTTGTTTACTTTTGCCATTTGATGGATCCTGCCGTGTTGCCCTTCATGCAACACAGGTAATTTTAACTATTGCACTCGTAGGCTGGAATTTTATACCGTGCGCCAGGTTGGGAGGGAGCAGAGTGCACAGTTGGTTGCCATTGTGGTGGCACATGCAAGTCACCTACTCACCTCTGCTTGGACCAGCAATTAATAGCCACTTAAGAGCCGCCTCCTGCTGTTTTTGCTGCTTTTACTCATCGTGAGAAGTGCTCATGCCATATGGCAAGGCAGCCAAGTGTAAACTGGTGGCCTTCGAGATTCAAACAGGGCCCCTCCTGTTCGAGTTCTTTGTCCTGCTCCTGGTGACACTGCTAGAATTACAGAAATGCTTGTTCTTTGGCTTGCTGTGCTTGGAGGTTAGACATCCTCTTGGATCGCAGCAAAAATACAGCCAGTGGCAAAGCCACCGCCTTCAAGTAAAATATCAATATCCATTTTGGTTGTTCTTTACTCTTACAAGACAATCTCTTTCTTGGTCATTAATTTCTGTGTTGTATTGATCACACCCATCAGCTCACTGGTGTCCATAATAGAATCACTAAACTCAATTGTGGTCAAATGCCAATGTGAAAGATATGTCTTCATGTGGCTCAGTGATGCTGAAGAAAGTATCTAAAGAAAGGAAAGTCATTGCTACATATGATCTGATTTTCTGTCAACTTTCATTCCGACTTTACTAGTAGTGTCACATTCATAAATTATTCTTAAGCAGGTGAAAAGAATTACTTTAAGTAATGGTTGTGATGTCTTCAATGTTAGAATTCTGTTGACACTTGGCATCTGACCTACCAATGAAGGGCAGCCACTTATTTAAAAAGTAGCTGTAAATGGTATTGAATTACAGTAAGAGATGACCACCTTCCAGGGGGGTAGGAGAATGATTTGGGACAAAAAATGACAAAAAGATTAAGTACATGAAATGATTCATTTCACTGGAATCAGAGTTCAATGTGGATACTCATTTATGGAAAAAGGTTGAAGATTGCATTTGTACAGGATCCTGCATGACCACAGAGGTCCTAAAGTGCTTTACAGATTATTAAATATAGCCATCATTATAATTTTAAGAATTGTAGCAGCCAAGTTGAAGGCAAGTCCCATGAATAGTAATATGGTAATCACATAATCTGTTTTCATGATGCTGATTTTGAAGGATGAATGTTGGCCATATCTTTTGAAACAATACCATGGGATGCTTTATATTCATCTGAGAGTAGCCAATGCCTCAATTTTACATGTTATCTGATGCATTGCACCTCTGGTACTGCAATAGAGAGTCTGCCTTGGGTTTTTTTATGCTGAAGCCTTGGAGAGTGACAGCAGCTGAGCCATGCTGAATAATTCTTCAATATACTTAGAAATATTTGGTTATTGGCTACCAGTCCTGGACTTTGGAACATTTATGTGGATTTAACAGCTGTTGGTAACCAATTATGTATGTTTGTTGCAGGTAGATGAGGAACAATTCAACAAAATTCTGGGATACATCAGTAGTGGAAAAAAGGAAGGAGCCAAGCTCCTCTGTGGGGGAGGAGTGGCAGCAGACCGTGGGTTCTTTATCCAACCAACTGTGTTTGGAGATGTGAAGGATGATATGATTATTGCTAGAGAGGAGGTGAGTTCACACCCATTTGAAAAATTATGACTAGGATAACAATCTTCTTTTGGTATCAAGGGCTCAGAATGTTAGTTGAAAATGTTAAGCTGTATCTGCTTTGCTCTGTTATTGTCTTTGTATTTTGGTAGAAGATTTATGGTTTCAAGCTGTGAACGTAAAACTCCAATTAAAGCTAATATATGATGTAGCAACTAGAACTGTACACAGTGCTCCAAGTGTGGTATAACCAATTTTATACGAGCTTAGCATGCTTGATTGCTTTTCAATCCCTCCCATTTTGATGTGTGCAAATTTAGAAGTTTTTTTTAACCATTTTAGATTTTGGAATAAAGTTGCAAATGAGCGGTCCCACTACTGATCTTTATGGATCAGTACTTCCCATCTTCTGCCATTCTGGCCAGTCTTCACTTATACTTTCTGCTCTGTCTTTCAGCCAACCAGCTTTTCTTTTTGCACTGATCGTCCCTTGGGTACGTGTTGTGATGTTTTCTCATTACTGTATTATTGTAGTGCCTTATCAAAGGCCTTTTGGAAATCTGTATTACATGTTCTCCAATACCCTTGTCAATTTTCTTTATTTTAATCTCTTCAAAATCCAATGATATTAGTAAAGCAAGACTTGCCCTTTAAAATGCATGTTGATTTTTTTTTTTGATTTTTGTTTCATTTATCCTTTCAGTGGGGGTTCCATTATTTTTCCTTCTTTCAATATTGAGCTGACTGGTCTATTGTTCCTTGACATGTTCCGCACCTTCCAAAATATAAATTTAGTCATCTGCTAGTTCTCTGATTATACATTTTTTCCTAATGAAATAATAGTGCCTTAAGTAAACTTAAATATTTCGCTTGCCAAAGTTGTTTAATTAATTGATGATTGTGTCACAGTTGTTGACTGTTTCCCTATTTAGTGTTCGTTACCAAGAGTGGAATTGATGGCCCTGCTAGTGACTTTGGATGGGACCTGTAATGTTATAATTAACAAGAACCACCTACATTTTATATGAATTTTAATAGAATAAAATATTCCAAGGCACTTTAGTAGGCATTATAAACCAATAGATTACATACTTGACGGTTTGATGTCAAGGGTGTTTTCTAATTTTAGGATTCAACTGACAGTTCATATCAGTCAGGTTGACTTTACCTGAGCTTGTCTAGTTGGATTACAATCTGTAGCCCAAGTCTCTATTTCTGCTGATAGTAACTGAAAATACCATGGAAACATCTATTCCTGCTCAGTGACAATGATTTAGATGTTATTTCCCCTTTATCAAAACAGACTTGCTAGAAATTTGAGAGATAGTAGGAACTGCAGATGCTGAAGAATCTGGGATAACAAGGTGTAGAGCTGGATGAACACAGCAGGCTGAGTAGGAAGGCTGACGTTTCGGGTCTAGGCCCGAAATGTCAGCCTTCCTGCTCTTCTGATGCTGCTTGGCCTGCTGTGTTCATCCAGCTCTACACCTTATGCTAGAAATTTGAGGCTGTGTTGAAAATGTTAAGTATATCAGAATTAATATGCATTCTCTCTTATCGTAACGTAGATCTTTGGACCAGTGATGCAGATTCTGAAGTTTAAGACAATGGAGGAGGTGATTGAGCGAGCAAATGATTCTGTGTATGGACTTGCAGCTGCAGTGTTTACCAATGACATCAACAAGGCTAACTACGTGTCTCAGGGGCTACGCGCAGGAACTATCTGGTCAGCTTTCCTATACAACTTTGAGTTATGCATTTGAGGAAGAACAGTGTACATTTGGAATATTCTACGGCTGTGGAATACACTGAACTGGTGCAGCCCAAAATTTAACAAAGATTAATTAGTCATAAAGTCATACAGGATGGAAACAACAGATCCTTCACTCTAACTCGTCTGTGCTGACCAGAAATCCCAATCTGACCCTAGTCCTATTTGTCAGCATTTGGCCTGTATTCCTTCTAAGTCCTTCCTATTCATATACCCATCCAGATGCCTTTTAAATGTTGTAATTGTACCCATCCCTTCCCCTGGCAGCTCATTCCATATATGCATCACCCTCTTTGTGAAAGTTACCCCTTCTGTCCTTAAAGTTTTCCCCTGTCTCCGTTCATCTTAAATCCATACTCTTTTGGACTCTCCCACCCTAGGAAAAAAGACCTTGGCTATTCACCCAATCCATGCCCCTCATGATTTTGTAAACCTCTAGAAGGTCACCCCTTAGCCCCTGACACTCCAGGTTTTAAAAAGTGCCAGCCTATTCAGCCTCTCCCTATAACCCAAACTCTCCAGTCCTAGCAATATCTTTGCAGGAAAGATTTACACCCTCTCAAGTTTAACAACATCCTCTAAGGTTTTGGAGTAGATTTGTAGCTCGTGTTGTGGTTGGTTGGCTCGCCGAGCTGGTTCATTGTTGTTCCGCAGACATTTCATTACCCTGCTGGGTAGCATCAGTGCAGCCTCCGATGAAGCGCTGTTGTTTTCCCGCCTGGTTTTTAAACTCTGCAGACCATTGAGCTGGATTACCTCATTTCTGGTTTTCCTTCACAGTGGAGTGTATATGGGGTCAAGTTCTATGTGTTTGTTGATGGCTTTCTTCGTGGAGTACCAGGCTTCTAGGAACTCCCGTGCCTGTCTCTGCTTTGCTTGTCCCAGGATCTTGGTGTTGTCACAGTTGAATTGGTGGTTCTCCTTCTCCATGTGGATAGAGATGAGTGAGTATTGGTCATGTCTTGTAGCCAATTGATGTTCGTGTATCCTTGTTGTTAATTTCCTTACTGTTTGTCCGATGTAGTGTTTGTCACAGTCTCTGCAGGGAATCTTATAGATGACATTGGTCCTGTCCATAGTCCGTTTAATGATGACAAAGGTGGCATCCATGTAGCGTATCCGTAGTTTTGGTTGGATTAGCAGAAAGGCCTACTTTCCAGTCTTTGCATCAATCTTCCTGCTAATCCAACCAAAACTATGGATACGCTACGTGGACGACACATTTTGTCATCATTAAACGGACAAAATTAGAGGAGATATACAAACTAATAAACAACACCCTCGCGGGAATCAAATTCACTAGAGGAGGAGAAGAACGAACAGCTTCCATTCCTGGATGTCATGGTAGAGCACAGGACAAATGGGGAACTCCAAACAAAAGTACACAGAAAAGCCAAACACACTGACCGGGTACTGAACTTCAGTAACCATCCGAACACATAAATGAAGCTGCGTGCGAACACTATTTAAACGGGCAACAACACACTGTAGCAACACGGAACTACGCTGAGAAGAAGAATACCTCTTCCAGGTTTTCAAAGATAATGGATATCCAAAAAACTGGGAAAGAAGATGCCTACACGAACAACACCAGGAAGATACTACACGTCCCGACACACTCCTCATCACACTACCTTACATCAGGAACACATCCGAACTAACCACAAGACTCCTTCGACCGCTGGGCATCAGAATGGCACACAAACCCACATCAACCCTACGACAACTGCTCACCTGAACCAAAGACCCACACCCACTATGGACAGGACCAATGTCATATACAAGATTCCCTGCAGAGACTGTGACAAACACTACATCAGACAAACAGGAAGGAAATTAACAACAAGGATACATGAACATCAATTGGCAACAAAAAGACATGGCCAATACTCACTCATCTCTATCCACACAGGTAACGAGAACCACCAAGATCCTGACTAGCAAAGCAGAGACAGGCACGGGAGTTCCTAGAAGCCTGGTACTCCACGAAGAAAGCCATCAACAAATACATAGTACTCGTATACACTCCATTGCGAAGGAAAACTGGAAGTGAGGTATTCCAGCTCAACGGTCTGCAGAGTTTAAAAACCAGGTGGGAAAACACAATGGTGTTTCATCGGAGGCTGCACTGATGATGTTACCCAGCAGGGTAATGAAATGTCTGCGGAACAAAAGAATTAACAGCATCCTTCCTATAGATGGGCAACAAGTTGTTCTGCCTTTCCACCTGTAGCTGGTAGGTTGGGTAAGTGCAATTTAGAAACCAGCAAATATGTACTGAGTGCTCAATGAATGGCGGGCCACTAGGAAGCTCAGAAGAACAGGGATCCTGGGGTACTTGGTCACAGATCCTGGAAGGCAGCAGGCCAGTTTACAGGGTGTTTAAGGAGGAGGACTGGACACTTTATCGGGCATGGCATAGATCAAGTGCAGGGAGGATATGTTGGAGCTGTACAGAATTTTGGGATCATAGCTGGAATACTGAGTGCAGTTTTGGACACCTAACCAAAGGAAGGATGTGATTGCACTGGAGGTGTCGTCGAGGGAATTCACCTGGAATGGAGCAGTTTGGCGATGAAAAGAAGCTGGATAAGCTTGGGTTTTCTTTAGAGCAAAGAAGGGACCTGATTTGAGGTATATAAGGTTGAGGCTCATAGGGTGAATAGAAGGCAGCTGTTCCCCTTGGAAGAGCCAATAACAAGGGGGCACACCTTTGTAAGGTGAAAGACCGGAGGCTTAAAGGGAAAACTGTTTTTTACCTAGAGAGTGATAGGAATCTAGAATGCTTGGGAGGGTAGATGAGATGGGAAACCTCTACTTTTGAAAGTACATGGATGAGTGTTTTAAACGCCATTACAATTATGACTGCAGGCAAAGTGCTGGAAAGTGGGACTAGTATAGATTTAGAATATTTCTGTCAGTGCAAGCTTGATGGGCTGATGGGCCTCCTATATTGATGACTATGTAATGACTGATATAACGTGATATGCTTTTAAAAAGTTGTAGTTGTTCGTGAGCATTCTCGGCTCCCTAAGCCACTACCTCAATAAGTCTCTTTACAGCTGAACTGTCAGGACCCCAACCACTGCAGTACCAACCTTACCTGAACTCGGTCATCAGCAAACTGAAGGAGCAGGAAGCAGCAGTATGACTATTTAAACAACCCAAACTGTGATTTAAACAGGTCCATTAGGTCACTAAATTTCAGATGCTAAATTACTGTTCATGAATTTGTGTTTATGTTAAACAAAAATCACTATCTCATGTATCCTTCACTTGTACAATAATGTCACTGTGGAGAAAAATTTCAGGTAGAGACAGTTAAGCTAAGAAACACAAGACACTATAACCTTGCAATTGGAACTTGTGCAATGTCTGTTGCTGTTATGCTGATTTGACTGCCTGGTTTAAACATTGATTTTTCCTTTTTTTTAAACTGTTAGAAACTGTGTATATGCCCTTTCCCTGATTGATCCACTCAGCTCTTTGCAGGAAGGACAAATGACAACTCCATTATTTCACAGATTTGGTGCGTTCCTCAAGAAGTTTCACAATACTTCCATGCATAAGTAGTATGTAGAATCATGGAATCCCTACAGTGTGGAAGCGGGCAATCTAGCCCATTGAGTCTATACCAACCTTCCAAAGAGCATCCCATCCCTGTAACCCTGCATTTCCCAATGTTAACACACCTAGCTTACACATCCCTGGACATGATGGAGAATTTTTAGCATAGCCAATTCACCTAACCTGCACACCTTTCGACTGTGGGAGGAAACTGGAGTACCAGAAGAAACCCACGCAGACACAGGGAGAATGTATGCAAACTCCACACAGTCGCCCAAAGTCGGAATCAAATCCGGGTCCTTGGCGTTTTGAGGCAGCAGTGCTAGCCGCTGAGCCACCATGCTGCCTGTCTTCTGTAGTCATCTAATACTAAAATAAGACTGTACAAAATAATTAGAGGATGTTCAAGTTCTCAATTATTTGTATTTCTTAGAACTTCCAATGGTAGGTGACTTATTGAGGCCCTGTTAGTCAAATGTCTTGATGGAATTTTTGAGCCAGCTTCTAAATTTTATATCTCATTTATAACTTGATGTCTTCCCTTCTCCGCACAGGATAAATTGTTATGATGTGTTTGGAGCTCAAGCTCCGTTTGGTGGATACAAAGCTTCAGGCAATGGACGGGAACTTGGAGAATACGGACTGGAAGCATACACAGAAGTAAAGACTGTGAGTAATGAGTGGTAGCAGCATAACCTCATATTTCAGAATACGGTGATCATTATACTAGTTCGTAGAGAGTTTGAGTCTTTTCTCCCATTTGTGGACAGAATAACTTCTTTCTCCTCCCTTTTTGTTTTATTCTTGACCATTATCAACTGTATTTCTTCATTTACTTCATCCAGGTGGTCATTTCTCAAGTGTTACTCAAGTGGCCATTTCTTGAGACACAGAATTCCAGATTATATGACAAACTCTGTTGTTGACTCGTACGCACAATTACAGTTATCCAATAGAGTTCCCTGTATCACCTCCAATTTTAGTTATTCCCATGACCAGTTCAAGCACTCCAACTACTTAGAATGCCTTACTTCTGGAATTGAGATTGATTATCTCTATATTGTCCAGAATAAAACCTGACCTTTTTCTTGAATGTATAATTGAGTCATGCTGATTCAAACACCCATGGTGTCCGTTATAAGTGACACTTTCTATTTTTTTTGCTGAAGCACTAGCAAGTGGGGAAAGAGGTGAAAATAAATTAGGGTAGGTACTTCTGCATATTTACAAAAGAGCACGTTCACTGATCGGTCATATTGCAGCCACATAGACATTTCTGGCATCAGTTTTCGAAAGAACATATGGTGGAGGCTGCGACCTTTGCTTTTTTGTTTCCAGAAGTCTAAAACGTTTTTTTTTTTCAGGTGACAGTAAAGGTCCTCCAGAAGAACTCCTAAGACAGACCACTAGCTTTTGAATGCACTTTCAGCCTTCTAAATGTGGAATTACGAAGAATAGAACATTTAAACTAATGACAGCAATCTTTGAAACCTGTGTCAAGAAAATTGATTGTATTGTCAACAGTGCTAAATGTGAACCTGATGATTAATGCAATAATGACCTTTACCTCTTAATTAACTAAAATATTTAAGTGCTAAGCATGTAAAGTAATTTCATTGAATTCCAGCTAATGAGTTGCACTTGCATTTAATTACAGTTTAATACAGGCAAATTAAGGATTGATATGCAGTAACTGATCAATTAGAGCCAAAATATTAATTATGCTTTTTTTGTAGCTGGTTTGGTAACGTTGCTTTCTTGGACACACAATAAATACTCAACTAGTTAAACATTAAGAATTCCAGGAGTTTTGTTTATTCCTCTTTTTTAAATCTTGTACTTTGAATGTAAGAATCCATCCATTTGTAACAATGGCAGAAGATTTCTTTGTTGCCAAAAGCTACAGTTCCATGTATGTGGCGTACATGGCATCAATGAGATGGAACAGCTTTTGACAGACTAATTATTTGTGCAAAATTAGAGATTTGTTTAAAATTTTATATCATAAAATCCCAATGTAGAGCATGAAATAAAGCAGATTTAATTACATAATGTACTTTTTTTGACATTTGTTAAATATTTATATTCCCCAATACATAGTCCATCCCATTGGAGATGGTTTAACAATGAACCATGTGAACATTTGTGTCTAGATGAACCAGATGTGCTGAGGTCTCCCTGCCAAAGACAAGGCGATCCTCCTTGGTTTGAACTGCTACATGTCCAAGTGGAGCAGACTTAGTGAAAGTTAAGAGCTTGGCTCCCTCTGGAGTGTCCCGAGGAAAGGCTTCCGAGGGGCCATATGTGGATTCTTTGGCTGGGTGTCTCCTTGCAAGGAAGGAACACCAGAATAAGCTCTAGGTTCTCTTTCATCATGCCTTTGGTCATAAGGACTGGTGGCTAGTGATGCAGTGCAGGTCTGTATGCATATCCAGCAGGCCCTGAGAATGCTGGACCTAATCATCCATGACAGCTACCAGCCTGTCATAGGGATAGCCACACGATCGCATGCTTGAGGCAACTGGTCCCGAGACCATAGCTGCAATCTGCAGCCTCTGGGCTATGAGGACCATTGCCTCTCACATACCTGCTTGCTACTCAGATGCTTATTTACGCATTCTTATGAAGTCCCTGATGTCTGACTCCACATGGTCCTCTGCTGCCTGAGGCTGAGCAGGTGCCTGGTCTGCAGAAGTCCTCCTCCCTGTCAGTGGCCTGGGATCTACCTTGTCTGGCTGTGGAGCTGACAGTGAGGTGATACTAGCTTGTGCTGCCAAACATTCTACACCTGATGATCCCACCAGGGCATGGGGTGGGTGCAGGAGGCAGTCTTACTGATGTTTCCTCTGAGGCCTCTCTCTTTCTCCGGTTAAGGATGACCCTTCTGGTGGACCTGTCCATTTCCCTCAGTGCCATAGTCATCTCAGTGGTACCTTGTAAGACATGAGAGCATTACATACAATGGTTAAAAGGGGTGTGCAATGAATAACACTATCAGTGGACTTAATGTGGAATGAAGAATGGTACATAGTTGGTCGGATGTAGATGTTTTGAACACACTTCAAAGTGGGTGAGGAGCCTAATATTGGCCACGCATCCACCCTTTCTTTGCCTGTTTTCCTGCTTTGTTATGGGTTGTTTTCTCTTCTAGTGGGTGAAAATGGTTGCCACAGCTGTTAGTGTTGATGTGGGTGTTTGAAAGGTGTAGAGGTGTCTAAGCAAGTGCATCACCTGCACAAAGGACTTGCAGGGTGGTATAGGGGTGGATATAGAAATGAGTGAGTGATGGAAGATATTGCATGCAATAGTGAGTGACAGATTGAGCCTTGGTGGGAGGTAGGTGCAGTAGCAGGGAGAAGTGTGGCGCACCCATTCCGGTGGAACAGAAGAGGTCATTGACTTTCCTATACTCGTCGCTGTTCCTCAAGACACTAGAAGCAGGACTGACTGGGGTGGAGACCTTTAGACTAGGCTGCCAGAATCTGGTGACATAGCCTCAGTCTTCCAGGAAGTGCCCCCACACATGCATGTGCATTCATACACACTCCAGATCCTTGCCAGAGAATTGCGGCATTATTTTCTCCTCTAATATCTTAACAATTGTCCCATCGACAAACAGGGTGGCTTTTGGAATGCAAGTGCTTTCCTCTTGGAGATGGTGCAGAGAACCAGGGATGCTTGTTTTTTGGCAGATACCTATGAATAGCAAATTATCTCAGGAACAGTGCATGGTAGAATAGGACTGGAATCGAGCAAGAAGGGTACCAAAGGTACATGATGGTAAATATAGTGGATTTAATAAAATCTGGGGAGGAATCTTGCTGGGTCTAACAGAGGAAATCAACAAAACTGAGACCTGACCAAAGTAAGATGCAAGATTAACAATCTTAACAATTATCATGAAATGAAAATTGTTTCTAACACAAATTGCTTTATGACTGCATTCTAAATTGCTGTATTAGGGAACATTTGTGACTCTCAACAATGAGATTATCTGTGGTGTACCCATTGAACTTTCCCTAGAAAATCCGTATATGTAAAACATTTTCTTCAGTGAAGATGACTATGCTGACCTGCAATGAGATTACTAATCATTACTGTTTAGTAAAAATTTGAGGAGAAAATGTTTCATGTGCTGCTCGTCAATGGGAAGAGTGACTGAAGGTGTGTATAGTGTGTTACTTAAGGGAATGGCAAGCAACCTCTTCCCAACTACTAAGTGATGCTTTAAAACAGCTTTGCACAGGTGAATATTTACGTTCTCCCCTCCCGTTTCCCTCAGTTTAAAAAATCAGGTATTCCGTGCATGAAAAATCGTGGGTGCGGGGGTTCACATCTGGATAAAGGAGGAATTAGAACAAAAGGCTTTAGGTGTGAGACAAGTTAAAGTGAGTTTAGGAAAATCGTTCTGGAGTGCATGACTGTGCCAACTTTGGAATTGGGTGTCTAATCTGGTTTAGTGTCAAGGAATCAAAGTTAAACTTCGTAAGTTCAGCAATCGCGCCAGAGCGTACTGTTTCTGCTGAGATCATTTCATGTTGTGAAAATAAGGAATGTTACGAGACAAGCACTCGGAAGCCTGAGTAACGATCAAATATTTGTGTTAAATAAAAGCAAAATACTACTGATGCTGGAGATCAGAAATAAAAGCAGTGTTTTAGAAACGCCAGTCTACCAGCGTCTGTAAAGCAACAGCAATCAGTTTACAACAACTTGCACAGTTCATAAAAACAATGCATTGAAAACACAGCTCCCCACGTTATTCTGTAAAATGGGAGCGAGCAGTTAAGGCGTGTTGTGTTATCTCCGTTTGGGGAAAATCACAGAAACAAAAACCGAAGATCTTTTGGAAATATTCAACCGGTGAGGCAACATCTGTGCAGAGAACAGTCAACATTAACGTCAAAAGTTGACTTTCTCCATATCTAACCTTCTGCGGGTTTTCCAAAATGTTCTTTTTTTAAAATTTCGCATTTCCGTCATTCGGTGCCGATGTTTTTATTAAATAAAAGCAACAGTTAATGTGAGAGCTCGAGGCAGGCCATATTTTCAATCCCCACTTTCCAGTCTGGGTTGGCAGCGTAGAGATGGGCAAAAGGTGCTCCTACTTCCGGCTACCGCAGTGTACCAGGACCACCCATCTCGGTGTTTTGTGGATCGGGAACCAGCTGAATTCAGGCAATGAAATAACATACAAAAAAAATGGCCTTTGAAGGAAGGACGGGTCGGAGAGGGGAGAAGCAAGTGCATCCTGGAGGCGAGTGGATGGACAAAAACCGGAATAAAGCATGTTAAAATATATATTTATATTTGTCTCAACAAATCATAGTCGTCTCTGAAAAAATGGAGTAATAATATCGATTTACAGAGAAAAAAGCAACAAAGAAAAGGAAGGTAAAATGGACATACTGGATCCTTTAACTAATATGAAACCGATTGTGAAAAGCATCTCTGGGTAGGCAAAAGGATTCTGCCAGTGTGCCGAATAACCGAGAGGGAGAACCCTTTTCCCGGATATACAGAAGAAATATCCGTACACATATTTGTCAGAAAGATGCGGCCATAATCCAGTAGAATGCCTCGGAATCCAAAACCAGAGGAAAATTGGAATATTTCCAGGATAAGCAGTCAGTGACTAAAGTAATTAGCCTGGGAAGGGGCCAGTGTAAGCTTAATTATTCCCAAATAAACAGAAAGGAAGGTTAACCTGCGAATGGGGATTCCGGGCAGCAAGCAGCTAGGAAAACAGAAATGACTTATAGAGCCATGGAGTTATACAACATGGAAACAGCCCCTTCGGTCCACCTCATCCATGCTGACCAGATATCCTAAATAAATTTAGTTCCATTTGCCAGCATTAAAAAAGGTGTTTCACAAAATGGTTAGAGGGAAATCTAATGGAGTTTGTAATCCATTCTGGAAGATTTGAAGGGGACAAGTACTGAAAAATTATTTTCACTGATTGGCTCACCAATTATAAAGTAGCAAGATTACCACCAAGCAAACAAATGGGAAAGGTAATATTTTTTAGGGGAATTAAAACATGAGATGCTACAATTAGCATCCACCTTGCCAGAAGCGCCTCCTTCTCTCCTGTAATGTCAGTGATTCTGTAAATGTTAGAGGAGCATTCAGTTGTTAATTAAAGCTTCAGCAATTCAATCTCACCATTGATGTCAGGGTGCTGGCGTGTACATTTCGTGGTTGTTATGGAGGAAGTGCAGCCATTGGAGTCAGGATTGGATGCAAAGTCACTTAATCAGCACAATTCGGGGTGAAATCACAGGGAAGATTAACTCGGGCGTCTAGCTCCTGTATGTTTCTCAAAAAACGGAACCAGTTTGTCATATTGCAGTCGTCCAACATATGATCGATTTTAAAAAAAGTCCTCCATTAAAGTTTCTCGTTGATTGAGCAAACTGAAACGAAGTGTTCCGATCCAAATTTGTATTAAAAAAAAACTGGGCTGGCTTTATAAAAAGTATTTTAAGAAATCCATGTCAACGTTTCCCCAACAATTTCTCCCCTTATTTGGTTCCAGGCATGTAAAATGGAGTGGACTGTGTTTATTAGGAACTACCACTATCCACAGATTGCAAATCCTAATAAATTGTGTTTAAGCACTCACATTACTCTCTCTCGCGTTTTCTGAGAAACTGGAATTATTTCCTGTGTTCTCCACTTCTAGCTCCCGGATTTGTCGAACTGTATCCCTCCACCTCCTGCCCTTGTTTTTCTGATTCCAGTTTTAGAACACTTCTTCCACTCTGTGCGACATTATTGACCAAGAAAGGTATCTGGATGGGTATATGAATAGTAAGGGTTTAGAGAGATATGAGATTGAATTGCTGAAGCTTTAATTAACAACTGAATGCTCCTCTAACATTTACAGAATCACTGACATTACAGGAGAGAAGGAGGCGCTTCTGGCAAGGTGGATGCTAATTGTAGCATCTCATGTTTTAATTCCCCTAAAAAATATTACCTTTCCCATTTGTTTGCTTGGTGGTAATCTTGCTACTTTATAATTGGTGAGCCAATCAGTGAAA